CCCACTATTTTCAGCTAACTCCACCCCTGGCTCAACTTTGAAAAACGCTCAAAAATGGGAGGGGCACATTGGGAGGGGCACTGCAGTGATCTACCGGTTTGGAGGTGGGCCTGTGAGGGAAACCAGGAGGGCTGGGCTGCTGTGTTTTTATAGTTAACATTAGCTACCAGAAAACATAGAGAGTGCCAGAATCAAACAGCACTTTTGCAATTTCGAGGTCTTACGAGGTTGAAGATTTTTCTCCACTACCATCCCCATCTTCAACGAGGGAAAGTGTTTCTGACAAGAGAGCGTGTCTTAAGCCTTACCAGTATAAGCCACTGACTGAAGCTGCCAAAGTTAACGTAGTGCCAGAAAATTATCAACAGCCAGCGGGAAAGGCATCCGAACGGTAGAACATTCCCTAAAACCATGACAGCTAGCTTCTAATTATCTATTCAACAGGTCCATATTCGATATAACCCGATGTTCTCCCTCGATCTAGACTTGTATGGTTTCATATTTATGATCATGACACGAGCAGAGCCACCTTTCTACATGGCTCTGAGCACGAGTAGGGCATCATCAGGGGGCGGTAACATTGGTTGGCTAATTTGCATACTGTGCACATCCAAAGTGCAAAGACACATCATCCATGTCTATAGCAGAGTTGAACCAGAGGGGCACTGCAGAGGCGGAACTGACCACGATAAAAATTATATTTGTACAGTTTGGAAAGATGTGTTCACATTTCAAGCAAGGTTGGTGTATATTATTATTACAGAACAATGCATTTCTACAACGAGTCTCCTTACTGCAGAGATGGTACTGATCTCCTGCTTCAGCTATTAATGAAAAAAGTCTAAGGGTGTTGTTACTCTTTAAAAGGTATTAAAAGGTTCAGTAATCAATCCAGAGCCCTTGTCTCTTTAGCCATGGTCCCACTGAAGAGAGCTGTTCACTTACTAGATGCTTACTAGAGGATGTAGGTTTGCCTCCTATGTTCATTCAAAGTTAAAGAAGCAAGACACACAGCAGTTTCATTTTGAATTAAGTGCCATTTCTTCTCTGGACTTTTGTACCTAATTTCCACATTTCCAAAAACACAGCAAAATGCCAACAGTTTAGAATCCCCGAAGCATGAAAACCCCTTGGAAAGGCTTTTTACTACGCAGTAGCAAAACAAATGTGTTGCTTACAGTAACCAAACCTCTCAGAAAACAAAGTTAGAGAAGTTAGAGAAGTTAGAGGAGTTGGCTAGTGGGCAGAATGCCCCCCCTATACAATTGCTCTCTAGCTAGAGTGTGCCAGTAAGTTGTTTTATAAGAAATGCTAACAACCTACACAACTGGCTTTGTGGGCAGTGTGGACCCAGGCAGCTCACTATAGGTACTGAGACACCCACGTTCATATCTTCAACATGCAGATTGCTGCGGTGAGAAAACATAATTATAAATGTGCATATTAACAAGGTTAGCAAACTCATTAATTCAGTGTTTTGTGTTTTTTTTTGTATCTAATTGACACCAATGATCATGACTAGCGCCGTGCTTTTGGAAAAGGGGCAAGGAACGCCAGGAATATTACTCTTTCCATTTGTTTATGGTTGTTCCATGACACAGTCACTGTGATGAAGCCAAAGCTTTTCTTATTAAGGAGTGCTTAACAGATGCAGTAGTTCATAGGTCATCATTAATTGCCCCTGGGAGACTATGCATTGTCCCTAAATTTGTCCCTGCACGTGCTTGTGTGGTTTAATCTCACATGCAGGGGTCCAAACATCGAGGTGTGTGTGAAAGCTCTCAGTGGATCTGCATGTTAAAGAGCCCACTGGCAGTCACTGCTTACGTGACATGCAAACGTGAGTCCCTGTCAGCTGCTTGCATCCCCCCCCCCAGTTTCCCACACACAACATGAGATGATTCAACATGTTATATGGGACAAGACCTTTAAGAGCTGGAGGTAATATATTCAAATGCACAATAATCTAACAGGGCATTTGCTTCAGATAACATTAATGGTGCTTTATAATAGAAAGCTTTAGTGTCTTGTACAGGAGCTGAATGGATGGTGTCCTCCAGCACCATCACACAAGTTACACAAGTACAAACAAGCTAGCAATACATATCTAACACCTCTCAGACATTTAATTAAACCAGGTGTGGATCATAGGTTAATTACAGTGTTAGTTGTTTCAGACCTGCCTCATTACAATATGAAACCACTTTTGTTGCAGGTACACTATAAACTGATTCAAATATTATGCAAACATTCTATAGGTTTCAAACAATTTGTAGAAAGTTGTAAAAAATGAATGTTTTTGCTGATGAATGAAGCTGTACATGATTTCATAATATTTAAGAAAGCTGTACAGCATTGAGAATGAACATATAATGAAATTAATATCCAGAATGCCTCATATTTGAAAAACGGTGAACAAATCTTGCCAGTCAAATATCAATTAATGATTATGATATTTTATGTTTTATTTAAAGTTATTTAATAAATAACTACACTTGATTAGTTAATAGCATTTACTATTTTCAAAAAACTTATTTATGTTCCCAAAATACTTTCAGATGTAAATAAGCCATTTGTTTACATGTTGGTGTCTAATTTTATTGGAGTCTGAAGTTATAAATAACAAGTGCTTCCAAACCTTTGAACAGAAATGTGTTACATCTATAATTACTGTCAAAACTCAAAGCCATATATGTATCGTCGCTGTCCAATAAAAAACGTGTCTCCATTTTTGGAGATTTTTAGTTTTCTGCATAATATGAGTACAGCAGCTGTCCTTCACATTATGTTAAAATTTTATGATGATTGGACCAATAGAAATGCTCCAAAATCACTCTGAATAAATTATATTTACATTAATTTACATAAAAAGTAAAGTTTTTGCCCTCTCTTGTAAAGTTACCATTTTAGAGATACTTGTTTTTCTTTGGACAGCTACGATACATATATATAGACAGATAGAGAGACTTTTATATTATATTATATTATATTATATTATATTAAATTATATTATATTAAATTATATTATATTATATTATATTATAGATACTGTCCAAAGAAAAAAACATGTGTCTCCATTTTCTTACATTCATTGGAGTAGGGCAGATGTCCATTACATTACGTTTGAAATTTTGTTGATGAATGGAACCAACAGTAATGCTCCAAAAGTGCCTGAAATAAAATCTCTCTATATTAAATTACATTGAAAATAAAGAATGTTTTTGCCCTCTTCTGTAAACTTACTCTTTTTTTCCTGGGACAGTGATGATATATATGTATTACTAGTGTAGACATTACTAGTAACACTGATCAAAAATAAATGACCGTTTAAACAGAGTGAAACACGATAACTGTGTGTCTGTGGGGGTCAATGAGGACAAACATTAAATCATCCTGCTATGGCATTTATGGCCTGAAGTAGGAATCTGGCCATAAGTGTGATTGTCATAGGGCAAATAGGGCTACATGGGCACACGTCTGCAGGAGAGGGGCTAATAGAGAGAGAGAGAGAGAGAGAGAGAGAGAGAGAGAGAGAGAGAGATGAATACTTGTTGTCTCTCAGTCATCTGTCAAGAACTGTGCCAGTGAAACTTTAGAGTGGTTCAGGAGGTCCAGGCCTTACCCTGCTAACAACACTGGGTTACAGGCCTCTTCAGTTGTTACTGAGGATAATGATCACGCTTATGTCATACGTTATAAATGAGCAAACCTGCTGTAAAAATAAAATGTTTTCCTTCAAAAGTCAGCGTTTTTCTTCTTGCATGCTGATGAACGAAACAGCTAATACCGTATGCTATGCGTTCGTGGCTTATAGACACTTACATTACGAGCAACACTTGCATAACTTTCCTTCTTTGAACGAGACAGCATGCCCACTATGCGTTGGAAATGTAAAGCGATATTTTTACTCCATCTCTCCTTTTTTCGCAGCTGCTGCCGGAGGTAGTCCATGGGAAAAGAAAGCTCTCTGGGCCCGAGGAGAAAAAAAGATAGCTATTTTCAGCCTTAACGTCACTCTTTTCTACTTGGCCCTCAACTCTCTGCTCCCCTGCCTCGATGAACTGTTGCTTCATCTCTGTTCCGCCGTGATATCTGAGTTTACAGCAAACTACTGGAAGACTGCGCAGCAACGCTCAACAGAAGTGTTGTTTTAAGCGCATTTTAAGGGGAGAAAACGACATTTCATCCTCTTTTAGTTTTACCTCAGTTTCTGTGAAGACCAGCAGTGGAGACAGAGCCCTTTCCCACCCATATTCTGACAGGCTCCGCCCCCAACGCTGGTAGTTTTCCTCACACCTGCGCTGCGATTGGCTGGTAGTTTCCCGCTGGCTGCGCGACCATTGGCCAGTAGTTTCCCGCCACCTGCGCCGGATTGGCTGGTGTCCGCGGCCTGACTGTGAGTACAAATCGCAGCCAGTCCGAGCTCTGGAAGCCTGGCTGGCCGAAAAATGGGTGGAAAATCTAATGGCCTGATGTGACAACGAAAATACAACAAGCGCTGTGTTTTAGAGGCAGGGCAGTGTGGAAATATGAACTTTTCCCTCAGCAAACTGCTCCTCAAAGCTGAGCCAAACAGCCATTAATTTAAATAGGGAGATTCCTAAAGAACCAACCAACAGGTTCCCTTAGCTGAGGCAAAGTAAGGACGCGCTTTTAAATGATTCTTGGTAAACAATCATAAACGATTAAGTAAATTAAACTTGAGCTTTCAAGTAATGGTTTTAGTGAGTTTTGGAGTGATAGTGCCAGTCACGTGTTCTCATGAACGGCCTTCCATGCCTTTCATTCCTTTTTCAGTGGAACAGGAAAAGTCGATGGCTAAAACAGCTGAACATTTTGAATTGGCTTCGTTCGCCATAAAATCAGAAGCGAGCCCGCGTGTCTTTGTGTGTGTGTGTGTGTGTGTGTGTCCACGTCACAGCGCGGGGAGGGCGACGCCGCTTTAAAAAGGCGCGAGCGTGCCAGCGGTTCCAGACAGCCCGCGTGCGGAGGGAGGGAAACGAGGGTGGGGGGAGGAGATAGAAACAGAGTGAGAGAGAGAGAAAGAAGGAACGAGAGAACGCAAGGAAAAGCAAAACAAAAACAAACAAAAGCGCGCGCGCCACCCGTAAAGGGGAAAAGAATGCGCAAGAAAAGGACAAGAGCAACGCGTGCGCGAAAGCGAGAGTGAGGCGAGACAGAGAGAGCGAGACGCGCGCGCAAGGGAGACTCGGACTCACCGGTTGTTTTCCTCCTCCAGGACGCACACGCTGAACGAGCGCAACACGCGCGAGGCGCGGTGAGACGGGCAATAGAACAGGCACCGGATCACGTTGCCCTCTTGGGGGTGGGGAGGGGAGGGGGGGCACAAAGATGACCGTGGTGCCCGCGGAGAACCTCGACGAGACCGTGGCACTGGCGGCCCTGTCCCCGGACGCCCATGAGCCCGAAAGAGCGGACCAAGAGTGCTGCGAGCGTGTGGTCATCAACATCTCGGGCTTGCGCTTTGAGACGCAGCTCAAGACGCTGGCGCAGTTCCCAGCCACCCTGCTGGGTGACCCCAGGAAGAGGATGCGCTTTTTCGACCCACTGAGGAACGAGTACTTCTTTGACCGGAACCGGCCCAGCTTCGACGCCATCCTCTACTACTACCAGTCTGGCGGGCGGCTGCGCAGACCCGTGAACGTGCCAGTGGACGTTTTCATGGAGGAGATCCGGTTCTACGAGCTGGGCGAGGAGGTCATCGACAACTTCAAGGAGGATGAGGGTTTCATTAAGGAGGAGGAGAAGCCGCTGCCTGAGAACGAGTTCCAGCGGCAGGTTTGGCTCCTCTTTGAGTACCCGGAGAGCTCCAGTCCGGCTCGTGCCATTGCCATCGTTTCTGTGCTGGTCATCCTCATCTCCATCGTCATCTTCTGCTTAGAGACACTGCCTGAGTTTAGGGAGGACGGAAAGGCACGAGAAGAAGAGCGGGCGGCCTGGAACGCGACGGGTCGCGCCGACTCACCCCTGCCACCACCGCCTAACCCTTTCACAGACCCCTTCTTTGTGGTGGAGACCCTGTGCATCGTGTGGTTCTCCGTTGAACTGCTGGTGCGCTTCTTGGCGTGCCCAAGCAAGGCGGCCTTCTTCAGGAACATCATGAACACCATTGACATCGTGGCCATCATGCCCTATTTCATTACACTTGGCCTTGAGCTAGCTGAGCACCAGGGCAACGGTGGCCAGCAGGCCATGTCGCTGGCCATCCTCAGGGTCATCCGGCTGGTACGCGTGTTCCGCATCTTCAAGCTCTCGCGACACTCCAAAGGCTTGCAGATCTTGGGCAAGACACTCCAGGCGAGTATGCGTGAGCTGGGCCTGCTCATCTTCTTCCTCTTCATCGGGGTCATCCTGTTCTCCAGTGCCGTTTACTTTGCAGAGACTGATGACCCTGAGTCTGGGTTCAGCAGCATCCCAGACGCCTTTTGGTGGGCAGTGGTCTCCATGACCACTGTGGGCTATGGGGACATGTGCCCAGTGACCATTGGGGGCAAGATCGTGGGCTCGCTGTGCGCCATCGCTGGCGTGCTGACCATTGCACTCCCAGTGCCTGTGATCGTGTCCAACTTCAACTACTTCTACCACAGGGAGACAGAGCACGAGGAGCAGCTGCAGTACACGCACGTAACATGTGGCCAGCAGCAGCAGCAGTCCTCGTTTGGAGAGCTGAGAAAGAGCCCCAGCAGGCCGTCCCTCTCCAAATCGGACTACGTGGACTCGGACGACGCAGACTCGATCAAATACACGAACTGCAGCCCTCACAAAGCCTACACGGGAAAGCTTACCGACGTGTGACGCTGAGGGGTGAAAGGAAAACGAAGAAAAAACAACAAAAAACAACAGCGTGCGCACCAGTAGCGCACGTGACTCCATTTCTCATCCCCCCTTTGCGCTCCGGCTTGAGTCCATTTGGCTGAGCTCTTATGTCCAAGCATGTGTTGCAGCGAAACGGAGTCTTTTATTTGGAGGAATAAGATGTGAAAGTGGAGCGTTGGAGTTTCTTGCTTTTGTTTTCTGTTCATTTTCTTTTTTTTTTCCAAACTTGTCTTCCATATTGGCAATGATTGGTATCAAGACGCACGAAGTGGGAAAAAGTAGCTGCCTCCAGCCTCAAATATATATATATATATATATATATATATATATATATATATATATATATATATAGTACTAGTAACCAGCTAAGCCCAACCTCGCAGGAAATAGCACTTTACTCGCGTACTCTTAGTAATATATCATTACTATTATTAGCCTCGTTGTTTGTGGGGTATAAAGTTTACATATGATTTGCCTAAGCGAGATGATAGGACCAATGATATATCTAATTTATTTATTATTTAATTTTTCAGAAGTGGGCATTGCAGTTAAGGTCACTGGGAGAGCCGAGCCTTGTGTTTTTGGATTTTGTAGTAGTCACTTATTTGTCATAGTTGAGATGGTCAGGGACGGTTAAGTGCTGAAGGTCAGTGCGTGGTCAGCTTTGGAAAATCATCATCATCATCATCATCATCAAAACTGCTCTCATCTGAGTCGGTTAGTAAAAGAGCCAAACGCATCAGCTGTAAGTCTAAATAGGGAATAAGTGACTAATTATCAAATAATTGCGTGTAATTGAGCACTTTCAGCCCAGGCGTCCCACTCGGCACACTCGAGGTTCTAATTCGCGTTTACACTTCTTTGGCGCGTGTTAATGAATCCTTAATCACTGCGTATTTCACCAAATTCATTTCAGTGTAGCTAAGCCAAAAAACCTTTCCCGGTGTAGGCCTGTATGTTCATCTTAACAAAGGGTTTGTTTTTGATGGAGAAGATGGTAAAACTTGGAAAAATGTACCTGTGGGCTGTTTGAGACCGCTTCTGAGCCTAGAGTGCCATCTAGTGGGCGAAGGGGGAAAGGGAGGCTCCTTGCAGACTTTTTTTGGAGGCAGAAGCGTTTCTATAGCAACCTTCCAGACTGTTCTGGATCTCCTGGCATCAGGCAATTTGTTGCCTTAAATTCTTTTCACATAAATATAGCAAAGGCGGTTTGTTGCTTCTAATCGTGCTGCTTCATAACGCCGACTTTAGTAATGTAGAGAGATGCAAAGGAAACGAGACGGAGTAGAACATATTCGGCAGCTACCAACATTTTGCAATGTGTTTCTAATTGTAAGAACGTGAAATTGTCATAGTCTCGGCTTCTTTTGCAAGTAGAGAAACTGGTAGGTGGGCTTTCGAAGTGCTAGACTACTACTTAATGGTGTGAGGGTCGTGACATGGGGGCGGGAGGTGGGTTAACAAAGCAGATACATTTATTGCACAACACAGTGTGACAAAGGATGAGAACGAAGTCTTCGGATGCAAAACTGCACCTGATTTGGGGGCGATTCTACAATTCCACTTCGCGACTGCAGACTTTGTGAACACAAAAGCAAGTGCTGATGAGGAGAGGGCGCTGAAGTGTGGCGTGAGGAGCTCAGACTCGGAACCCTATTGGCTGGATTGGGAGGCGCTGCAGCCAATCACGCGATGTCAATAGAGGCTAAATGGAAATACGTGCTCAGACTTGTGGCTGTGGCACCGTTGAGAACTGTTGCAGCCTGACAACTGCTCCCCACTTTCTGGTGGAAGAAGGTCCTGCAGAAAAACCAGGTGAGATGTGTTAGATCTTCATCAACAGCATTTCAGCTGGAAAGAAGCTGTTGTTTGTGTTTGTGTGTGTCTTCCAGCCTAATCGCTCATTTCCCTGCCATCTACGTAGAACTGAACTAAAATCATAACATATCTAACAACTGATTAACAGTTAAAAATACACATACGAGGCATCCACGTGCTGTTAAACATGGGCACAGTTCTTCATTTAAACACTAGGTGGCAGTCGACACCAGTCTATTTCCCAGAAAGATGCAGGCTGTGTGGAGTGTCTTTATAAGGTACCCTTACCTTCTCGATGAAGCACAGCATCGAGGTGAGACCCAGAGCAGGTTATGTAAGATAGCTTACATTTTCCGTATGATTGAATGTACAATAATGGTTTTAATCGTGTTTGATTTTCAGACACAGAATGAATTGAGTGCATTTTTAGGTTTTAGATTTAATGAACTTAAATAAATGTAGACTAAAGGTACATAAAAAAAGATGATTCTTCAAAGGTTTTTCAGTAAAGGACTGTGAGGAACTGTGAGTCCTATATGGTTCTTTGCATGGTGAAATGGTTCTTCGGATTGATGGAAAATGTGTTGGTGCTATATAGCCTAGAACCTTTTAGAACATTGTTACAATGATCTGTTGTTCCAAGCTTGACATTCCATCAGTCTGAAGAACCATTTCACCATGCAAAGAACCTTTTAAGCATGATATGGTTCTAGAACCATTCCCTTTACAAAAGAACCCTTGAAGAACCATCTTTATAAGAGTGTAGTTAACACACAAAAAAGGAATTTACCAGCTTATTTCAGGGTTATTTTTTCAGTTTAATCTAATAAAGACTAAAATCAACTGTTGTTGTAACAGGAAAATAATAATAATAATAATAATAATAATAGTAATAATAATGATGCAGCAATATTTCGAACTAATTTAGCAATAATACTTTTACTGCGATCGTTAACAAACAAACATGCAAACAAACAAACACAGTAATGTATTTTCCCTCTGCTTGTTTTTCAATCTATTTCGTAACCGCTGCCAGTTCCACTGCAGCACAGTGCAAGTGCAGTACACCACGTCGCTACTAGAGGTCGTATCGCCGATTGAGACACTGAGCAAGCACCAAGGAAAATTACAGCTATACACCAATACAGCTGTCAGAGAACAAGAACATGCAGTTAGACCTGATTTAACAACATTAGAGCCATCATTAAACAATTAAGACCTCTAACATAAATCATTCTTCTATGCACACACTGGAACATAAAGCCTGTGTAACTAAGGCTGTTTAGTGGTGCGTGAAGGTTGCTGAGATAGCTAGATATTATTCTGAAAGATGAAAAGACACTGGCCTGAACGCTTGGCTTGATGACCTTGAGATCAAGTCTGTACAATGCGCAAAAGCACATGCACTGTCACACTTAGAGCAGAGTATAGTTCACTAATGGTGGTGATAGACAGTCTGTCTGTGAGTTTATAGAAGTAACTAAGGGATTTATGCACAGCAGTCTTAGTATATTATTAGTACTTAGTATATTATGGGCAGATCCTGTAAATAACTAATGGTGTCATAAGGTTTTAGATTGGCCTCAAAGTAAACATTGGGTTTGGTAAACATATGAAGGCGGGAGAGCCTTGAGGCCTGGGACAAGAAACAGTGACAGCAGTGCTAGGTTCCACACATGCTGCTTTTATTAGCTGATGCTATTGGCAGCTTAACATTTGTGCTGCTTCCACGAACAGTTCATTTATAGGCTACAGTTTCAGGGATGACAGACTTTCGTCTGTAGGTATATGTATATCATTGGTCTAAAAAATTAATGACAAAAACACTGTAAACAAGAGCTGTTGACTCTGTTTTGTAGTGGAGTCTACTGACTTTACAATAGGCCTACATCCAATGCGACACAATGCATACATTTTTCTTTTATAAAGATATCTGGCAGGGGTGGGCAAATATGATGTTATGTTATTGTTATCATGATAAAATACATGACGATGCATTTTTTGAATACACAACTGCATGCATACTAAAAAACAGATTTCGACTGATTACAGGGAGCCTGTGAACAAAAACAACCAGTGTACAGTAACTACGTAAATGGATGTCAATCCATTATGCTGTTGTCATTGATTGTTGTCATGCAAAATATTCATTGATATTTACCAACTGTTAGATTTTTTGTCTGTTTAACTGTAGTGTTAAATTGAAAATCACTTAACTCTTCATATTATCATAGCATTTTTAAATGTAGCTTTGCTGCCGTTTCCACTTCTGTTCTTAATTTAGAAAACTCAGAAAACAATTTGCCATATCACCCACCCTTATCAGTTTAACAGGCAGCACATTAGAGATGAACCATACACCGTAGCAAATTGTATGGCCCATTGTATTGTATTATATCGTTGTATCAGGGCTAGCATGTTAGCTTGTAGCTAGTGTGCTAGCTTGGGGCTAACATCCTAGCCTGTATGTAGAGCATTATTTTGGGACATTATAAGGCACAGCTTTATAATGAGATTGTGCTTTCTTAATGTTGAATGCTCTTATAAACTGAAAATGGAAAGATTCACATACAGTCGTATGCAAAAGTTTGGGTGCTCCTGGTCAAATAACACACGTTCTTGATTTTCTAAGGGAAAATAAGTTTACACATCCTCTACAGAGAACACACGTAATGCACAATTGCTTTTTATTTGCTAAAACAAAATGTGGCCTGTGTCAAACTTATGGCATATTTTTTAATTTATGTAAAAAAAAATCTATCTGTTAAACTTGGAAAAAGTTTAAAATAAATGCAGAAAATGCCATATTAAGTTGTGTGTAAGGATGTGTTTGCTTGTTATCTCTTAGAAAATCAAACATTCAATTTCACAGGTGGTGTTCAACCTTTTGCGTATGACTGTATTATGTAAGCAACATTTTCAGTCACTCCTTATTTCTGCTGCATTGAGAAATCAAATCGAGACATCACTGTATCGCACTGAATTCTTTGTTCTGTGTATCGTTACACAGCACATGGGAAAGATGTAGAGATCACATTGTTGGGGGTGGTGCAGCCAGGCAATCCTTTGTGATACTTATGGTAGAAACAATAAGAAGATATTTAGTAAGAATAAAACAATAAGAAGAGGTTAAGCATGGCCTGTTTAATAGGACAGGTTTCATTTATTAGATTTACACTGGGTGCAACTCTCTGAAGGGCATTATGCAAGAGAGCCTAGACTGAAATTACATAATTTGATAGAGGGCATATTTTTTTAGTCTGTAGGCTCTTCATTTCATGAAAGTCAATGAAGCACAGAACCTGTGCCAGACAGACCTGCAGCACTTTGAAGGTGAGGGAGGCATGAGTTGCAGTGAAAAACAAACAGTCATATTCAGCCACAGATGATACTCAGACTTAAAGCAGAGAAAAACCCAGCTTCGCCCAGCGATCATAGAAAATATCCTGTATGTATGTTAGCAAACATGCTCATTAATGTTTTTTAACATTAGGAGAATGCATCTATTTCTCATTCAGGCACAATATAAAGCCAATGCCGTGTAGAAACCACAATGAACCACAATTTCTATGAATATCTAGATACATTCAAACTATTGCAATAATAATGTTATTTTAATAGCTCTGTTCAAACTCTGCACTCATGAGGGCTGTTTCTCTTAGTCATTCAGTTTTTCAAATGGGTTTTACATAAGAAAAATTGACTTACATAAGTGCAAAATATATGGATATATTATAGATTTCATCAGCTTAGGTGCACAAATAAAAGAGTAATTGGCTTTAATTGGGCCTTTATTTTTATGTCAGAGTCATATTGAGTAGATTTAAACCTATTAATCATTTAATTAAATTAAAATAAAGCTCATGTTAGCTTGAAGTGCCTTAATGAGGTCATTTACTTTTTTGGATTACTCTGATTTTGCTGAGTAAATGCCCAACAAGTATTATTTATATTGCTCAGTTTACTATGCTGCATGGTATGTGGTATAATTTATGGTCATTTTTGTTTTTGATATATTTGCAAACACTGTTCTGTATTTTGGTGGTGCTCCCTGTGCAAACACAGCCATGAAAAGCTTGCTAATAAGCTGACGTGTTGAGTCAGGTGTGTTGGGAGTAGGGAAATCACTGAAATGTGCAGAGCAGTGGCGTTTGAGGATTAGGACTGGAAAACACTGCACTGCAGTATTGACTGGTGTGTTCCTGCATGCGTGGAGAGTGCGACACTTCTGAGTTAATGGGTTGGCCTGAATCAGGTGGTGAGGGAGGAAAAAGATGAAAAGTCGCCACCAAACGCCCACGTTCTAGCTTCTCCCATGCTAAAGCTATGATCTACTCTGCTTGTCCTGAGTTTTTACCAAACAAGAGGTTCAAAGCAGTTACAGTAACCCTTTACTGTAGGGTACAGTTCATAAGGCTACATGCCATCTACATAAGCTTGACGTGGAAACAGACATAAGCCTTTCATAAATGTTTATAAATGCTTATTCTAGGGCTGAAAGATTAATCGTTTTTCTATCAAAATCGCAATTTAAGACGGTGCAGTTTTCAAATCGCAGGAGCTGCAAGTTTTTTACTTATAGCCTACAAAAAAAAAGATCATAAAAAAGTTCTTCAAGGTTCTTAAAAAAGATGGTTCTTTAGTAAAGACAGTCATTCTAGATAGAACCATGAACACTCAAAGACCCATTTGCGTGCATCAGTGGTTCTTTGCATGGTGAGATGGTTCTTCAGATTCTTGGAGAATGTGTTGTATATGGTTCTATATAGTGCCAAAAGGGTTGTGCTAATGTTATGATGTCAAGCTTGTAGCAATAGAAGAACATGTTGGTGCTATATCAAACCCTTTTCAAAAAGGTGCTATATAGATCCACATACAATACATTCTCATAAATTTATGAAACCATTTCACCATACAAAGAACTTTTTAAGTATGCAAGTGGGTCATTGAGTGTTTATGGTTCTATATAGAACCATTGTCTTTACTAAAGAACTTTT